GTCGATCAATTGCCTGACGCAAAGAACCATTAGGGACCGTATGGGGCACCATTCAAGCAAACCGATGATGGCGAGGGTGTGCGTAGAAGACTACCTCGCGCCGCCGGAGGTATGTATCCCAGCTTAGACGCAGTTCGGCCAAGTCAGGATCTAGCTCTTGTGGCTCCGTCTCAAAAGACCAGTGCAGCCCGTCAGCGGCCTGCTTCAAGCGAATCAGACCCTCAATTGACTGTAAAAGACCTCTGCGAGTACCGATGATGCAGCCACGGCATTCCGTCACCCAGTCAGAATCATAACGAAACGGTGGGGGGTGGCGAAGCAACAAGACAGGCTCCATACCCAGTTCCGACTCAGCCGGGAAACAAGGTGACGCCAACAAAATAGCAGTCGCCCATCGCCGTAATTTAGCCTGGGAGTACTTAACACCTCCCGGCATCGACGGTGGAATGGCCAAAACAACCTCGGTTTGGAACCGTCCTCCGAACACGTAAACGAGCGATCGAACAGGCTTCAATTTGGTCATATTTGAGTGCTGAAGTACCCCACCTGTAGCATTACGAATCCACGGGTTACCGCTCCGACCAAAAGTCCCCCGAAACGGAAGCACTGCGTGATTACGATAGTAGAGGGTATCATGGGCTTTAGGAAAAGAAACCGAGTACGACGCCACCCAGTCATCTTCGGCCCACCAGCTGCCAGCTTTTCGAACCAGTAACGTGAAATGGGTAGATAGCCGATGTCGGCGGTGTTCCGCCTGCTACGTCGTCGGCTCGAGAAGCCTGTCCAAGTCTCTAGCAAAAAAATCCTTTGAGGACAGCCGTGAGCGGGATGGTAGCGTGTGACCCTGCAGCCATTCGTGCATTAGTAGACCAGAACGAGTGGACCGACATCGGTACACCCAGGCACTCCATGCATAAAAATACTTATCATGTAATTGAGTCAGCCATCGCAATGTGTGTTTCGTGGTTTTTTTTCCAAAGCCACCTCCACTGAGGCTAGACCGACCCCACCCGCCTGTTTCGGTGTGTACAATCAACCAGGACTGATCTTGTGTCGACTTGCTTCAGTCGAGGTCGCGTGAGCCCACACGAATTGTTTATAGAGATTATGGATGTCCTTGCGGGCCCATTCGGGCATCTCGAACACCGCTGCCGTAAATAGTATCGACGGTAAAACGATAGCATTGAGAACGACCACCCGATTGGCCACACTTGTTGTAATCGTCGAAGCTGTTACCAATCTCCGCTGGAGCCGCCGAATCCTAAGCGCCCAGTTACGATGGTGGGGTTCACCGGTTCCGACCTCGTACCCCAAGTACCGCGTGGTCTCTCCGGACTGAAGCACCAAAATACCGAGATATTTGTCCAGCTTGATAGCTAGGTTTAAAAAGATCAATTTACAATTGGCTGGCTGGGCATGCAATCCGGACAACATGCCAAAGTGAGCCACGATTTTGAGCGTCGGTGTCAAGTGTTTTGCATTCTCGAGAAAGATGGTAGAGTCGTCAACAAAGGCGGAAAATGTGTGAGACTCATTTCCGCCCCCCGGGCCTGGAAGCCCGTGCAAGTCCGGAGAATGGTGGATAGCAACCCCCAATATCTCCACCGCTATTAGAAAGAGTAACGGGGCGAGCGGGCAGCCTTACCGAATACCAGACACGACGTGAAGAGGGTCTGAACATTCGCCATTTACGAGAAAGGAAGCCGTCGTCCCAAAATGACACCGTGAAGTAAGCTGTATATACCGTTTTCCAGAACCGAAACTCCGTAGAGCCTCATACAAAAAGTCACGGTCGACCGTGTCATACGCCTTCCGAAAGTCCAGTAATAAGACGACTCGGCTATCACTCACATCCGTAGCCTCATCTGTACGAGCCGTTGCAAGCTGCGACGTCATCATCATCACAAGCTTTGACATCTGTCGACCGTGGACAAATCCTTGCTGAGACTGCCCAATAAGTTTGGGTATAACGTGCTGTAGACGCGTCGCCAACACCTTGGCGAATATCTTGTAACTCGTTTGCAACAACGAGATGGGTCGATAGTCCATGGCGTCTGTCGAGTCGCCTTTCTTGCGTAACGGGATGATACTTGCTTCCAAAAACGATGGTGGGGTATCATCCCCTTCCAAGATTTAATTTCCTACCGCCACAAGAGCAGGGACGAGGAGAGCCTGTGTGTCTTTAAAAAAGTTATTGTTCAGTCCATCTGGACCTGCCGCCTTATGACAATTGAGACTCGAAATAGCAGTGAGAACCTCCGCTTCTGTTTAACGCGACAATAGTGCATTATTCTCTTCGTGTGTTAATACCTGGGCGGCTGGGATGCGTGCAAACTGTCTTACGGCCAACGCAAGATCCTTTAGTGGCATAGTTCGATGACTGTTCCCCAGAATTGACGACCATTCAGAGGCAAATTTATCAGCCACCGTCATATGACGTTCAAAGGTCGGTCCATGCAGTCGAACAATATCAGTTACTCTCTGGCCCCGTTTCCAATCGGAAACCCGCCGAAAAGTCCACCGTAGCACATCTGAGGATCGTTCCAGGTTCTGTCCGATACGCACGAGATGTTCACGCCGTAATTCGTCGACGTTCTTCTCTATCCACGATACTCTCGAAACTCATGAACAATCCATTTGTCGAACGAGCTTGCGACGAAGTCGGGTGCGTCTCTGCTTGTCACGCTTACGGACGCGCTGGACACATCGGATACACTCACCCATATCCACATCCCAAGGAGATGTAGCAACCCCTTGCCCGATGGCCATGTTGTCATTTCTTGTATGAGCTCATCGATGATACCGGCCTGATTTGACGTTTTGATAGGGTACGACACCTGCATGTGAGTTCTAGAGCAACCCCCACTCCGCAGTGCTCGTAGTAATAGCACCACCTCCTGATGATCTGACCACTGGGGGGGAAGGGTGGCTGCGATAAAACCTATTGGACGCGGATCACTTAATGAGACGGTACATAGAAGCGGTCTATGCGAATGGCTCGTACACCCTCTTATTACGTGAATGATCTACGCAGGCAGCTTCAGACTCGTCCTCCACGTGCTCCCGAAGCATCCGAGCGTCAGCTAACCCCGTAGAGATGATCAGAGAGTCAAGTGCGGGGCTTTTCGACCGGGTAGAGCGCTGGTGACCATACCGATCTAACGCTGGACTCTGCACACATTTAAAATCTCCTACAAGAATGGAGCTCCGGGTCTGCAGGTCCCAAGCGAGGAGGCTGTGAAAGTACTCTTCCCGGGCTCCTCGCTCAGTGGGATCATAAACATTCAGTACAATGGTTTCGTCAATTGTGACAGCAAGTGAACGTTTGCTCCATAGATTCTCTTTCCACGCCGATGCTAATAGCGCGGACTCAGGAGTCAAAAGTATCGCCACGCCTCCCTGGGATGAGGAGTCAGTACTCCAATAGAATAAAGTTGGGGCACTAGCTACCAGGTGCACCCCCATAGTCGTGCCCAGGCATTCCGAAACTCAACCGCCTCTTCTTCAGTGCCGGCATGTGTCTCTTGGAGAGACCACGCAAGAGGACGATACCGTTTGCTCACCCCCCGCCACGCCGACATTCAACCAACCCGAGCAGATTTTTTAAGCCTCGCACGTTCTGAGTTATGTAGGCCGTATCTCCTTTCTGTGATCTCGGCGACTGGCTTGTAACACCGTGGGAGGATTTCCATTGCCGAAGCAATCGAAGACGCCCGTATTCGTCGACGTCGTCGAATGCTGCTGTGCGTAGATCAGCGACATATTGAACTCGTGAGCTGCCTTTAGTACTCAGATAGCACCTGTCGATCGACAGGCACTGAGGCGGTTGAAAAAAGGTGTAAGTGTGCGCCAATTGATGAGTTTTCCCCAGAAGAAAAATATGCTGACCGGTAGCCCGAGTTACTTTGCAAAAGAATGACATGACGATGAAGTTCTCCGGTATCAGGTCTGTAGATTTGCCCTGACCGTGCAAAGCGACTATCTCTGTATCGAACAGTGGAGCGCAGAGAAGATGCTGGCTCAAACGCACGCTTCTGCGCGGGTCACATAGTCGTAACACATAATCCACTGCATAGTCAATCTCTCGAAGGCGGACCCAATCATCTGAACTGTCACCTAGAGGGACGAGCCGAGATACTCCCACCCGATGTTGCGCACTCGTAATCCAGTGATCAATCCAAGCCACTGTGGCTCCATCATTGACCCTATTTTGGTACGCGCGCAGCCCAGATAAGAGGGCGTCCTGCCGCCAAACAGCGGTCCACTGGACGAGAACTTGAGCATCAGGGCTGGTCATCAATTCGGGCAGAAAAACGAATTGGCGCACGTGGTAAGGGGGTATGTCCGGTCATATTACGCGGTATGCAGCCAGGACTCCACGCTGCCAGATATTTGTGGATAAGGCGTGGCAGTTGGTGGCCATTCAGAGCCAAGAGCCCCCCCAAACGACCGGCCATTCATCCTGATCGATTCGTACATCCAGTGGAGGCAACAGGGGCGGATTCGGTCCGGCGCTCACTCGGCCTCGTTTTGTAGTCCCATCTGCTGGCGTATTGATGGAGACGTAAGTGGCTGCCGCTGCAGATCCTGACTGAGGAGAAAGAGCACGTTTACGAGAGATACCTTGGGTAATGTGCCCCTTGTGCGGTACAACTAGGGAGCGATCTAGAATTAACGCAAGGGACGGCGCCTCGGTGACTTGGCGTTCAGATGCCCCCGTCGAAGGTGAGTGCACGACCAGCGTTGTAGGAAAATCAACCGTGTGACAAACCCGGCCCGTGGCTTGCAGAGGGGCTCGAGTCTAATGTAGTGAAATGGAGAATGAATATATTGAGGAGGAGTGTTAAACTTGGTAGGCTAATCTGGTGTCATCATATCCAGTCTGGCGCAATCTTCTTTCGTCTGGCGCAATCTTCTTTCGTCTGGCGCAATCCAAGGATGGTCTCGCAGGTCATTTCGATAGACAACCCATGTCATACTCCCCCCATGATCTGTGAGATTTAGCACGGAAAAATGCGGCGGATGCTCACACGTTCTGCCATTGCTCCCTTGTCGATGGTCACAGTGCCGTTGCTGTGAACTTGGCGGATAACAAAAGGTCCGGTTGCCACTGCGTGCAATTTTGCACGGAACTTCTTGGGGACGCGTAACATCACGTGGTCTCCCGTATTGTAGAAATGCTCGAGGCGTTTGCTATTCTCGCGGTCATTGTCGGCGAGAATTGCATCAAAACGACGCTTCGATTGTAACGGGGCACCCTGAAGCTTGTACTGGTGACAGTACAAGCTACTTATTCTGATGACAGAATAAGGCGGTGCCTCGTAACTTCACGTACACTCGTGCGTGCAGAGGAAGACGGTAAGAAGAAGCGAGTACTCGGTTAGAGTAAAAAGTAGAACTGTATTTATAATAGTTAATGTCTGCAATAAATCACTATTTATCTTCATCTAACTATGTCTAAATACAAATGTGTAAATCAGTTATCTGCTCACCACTCATTGCGTGCGTCTGTCGTGGCGCGTCTTCGTTGGTTGATATAATGGCCTATATCAACCAATTAGGAACTACTTGGAAGTGCTACAGAATATTGTCCTTATGACAATATTCTGAGATTATAACTCTTATAGTTATATTCTATTAACAATTTCTTATAAATTGTTATGTAACGATTCACCCCGTTACATCACCCCCCCCTTAACCATCAGTCACTTTAGTGACTGATTGACTAAATGGATATTCGTCCCAAATCATTTGGGACGGGGTTTGCACTTGTTGGTCCGCGTCCACTTTCCAACATCTCATCGCATGGTAAACAAGCCCATGCGATGCGCGAGCAAGGCCGCCGAGAGCGCGTCTGCACGTCTCTGTGCGGACGCCGAAGCAGAAACTACAGCAACTGATGTCCCATCGGTTGCTGAATCGACTCAGCCTGTATCACCTGGTGATGCAGGCGCTGGTCATGAAGACACTCGTGTCTTCACAGAGTACGAGCTCGGTGTCTCGTACTCTCCTGATACGGATGACGGATCCGTATCGACGGCAATTGAATCCAAGCCGCCTGCCAAGCGTGGCATGGACGATGCTTTGCGTCGCAGCATCTTTGGTTCATCTGATGAGTCAGATGAACCATCGCCAAAGCGAAGGCGCTCGAGGTCGCGAGACTCGGGCGCTAATAGTGGTGTCGTTTCTCCAATGGACACCACTTCACAGCGAGGTGCCAGTACTTCTGTCGGCACGTCGCAGGAAGAGCGGGACCGCAATGTGTTGCGTCTCGCTCCAGAAAAGAAGGCATGGATGCCTCCTAAATCTGTCATGGATCACTTGTCGGCGACGACGAGTGATCGTTATCGAACACGATTGTTCGATTCGTCAAGGATCCATCACCTTGACCCCAGCGCGAAAGACTATCGCGCTGAACATGAGTTCTTCATCGATGCTTTCTTCAGACATCGATGGTACAGTGGGAATCACAAACGTGATGGTCCCTCACTACTTCAGGCGTGGAACGCCTACATCCATAATCTCGAGGATGTAGGTCGTGACGCTTGGAACGACAAACTTATCAAAGCTCGTGATAAGTTTGAAAAGCGAACCCCGACAGGTGCACGCTACAAGCTGCATCGTCTGTCAAGGGAGAAAGGATTACCCTGCCTCTCTTGGGGAGACTCGTGCCCATGTTGTGTGAACAACTCTGCACGAGCACCTAAGGAGGCTTACCTCCTTACCAGCCCGTGGTGGCGCGTACGTGTCTCTACTGAGATGTACGAAGGGATTGACAACCTGAAATCCCTTTACGACCGTGCCGGGAAGACTTTCTCCGGCGGTACTTCTGCGGCACAGGATGTGTCGCGTCGTACTGCTCGACCAGACCCAGTACGTCAACCATCAATTGGGAGCGGGGCTCCCAAGAATCCCAGGACGGGGGATAGCCGCGTCACCGGACGAGGTAACTCGTCCGACGTCCGTTCACGTCGCGGTGGTTCAACAGCTGCTCAACTAGATAGCGCTGGCCACCGCGAGAGTCCTCTAATGGAGGTGGAGGAGGAGGAAAGACGCTCTCCACACGATCATGTGGATCGGTGTGTTCCCGAGAGCTTCTTTGATCGCGTAACGCAAGGGTTACGCGACGATCTCGAGCATAAGCGGAATAGGCGTCTCCAGATGGTGGACACTGCCTCGAAGCATCGAGCTGAGTTTGCCTTTGCTCAGCTTGAGAACGAGAGATCTCTGACATCTCTTCGTGACGAGCTAAGGGTAGCTCGTGGGATTGTTGATCGGTCTCGGGCTGAGATAACTGCTCTTCAGACCCTTGTTGATGCCCACCATCGGGAGCACAAGGCTCTCTGCGAGATGCTTGAGCGCAAGGGCGTTCTTCATCGGAAGAAGCAGCGTACTGATGGTACGGCTTAAGCCGACCAACGTAAAACGTGGGATGCGTTCGCATCTTACGTGGTAACTCGATCGTGTATGCATTGCCTAGGCGGTGCAATACACGAAATGGGCCAATGTACTTGGGTAGTAGTTTATTGCTACCCAAGTTAGTCACTACATGTTTTGGTAGATTAACCGTAGACAGTAGGACTAAGTCACCTTTATTAAATAAAAGAGTGTTCGCCCTTCCATTCTTGTCAGCGTTTTGCTTTTGCTTATCCACCGCTTCGGCGATGGAGTCTTGCACAAAACGGACTACCGTTTCACGAGCCAGTATGAACTCATCTGATGACTCGTTAGCTTCAGTGTGCTGTGAGCGCACTGCAGCGACAACAACCTTTTCTTCAGTGAGGGCTTCCGCACTCTCACTGGGATCATTGTCTTCAGTGAGGGCTTCCGCACTCTCACTGGCATCATCTTCTTCGATATCGATGTTATCGATATCGGCATCAAACGCAATGACTTCTTCGTCAGAGCGTGATGAGCGTGAACCAAATCGGTTTTTGCTCGCGCGAGTCCCTCCCCCTTAAACCAGAGTTACACTCTAGTAAGGTGGGTACACGCGGATGGCGTAAGCCATTCACGTAAAACGGTGTATGTGTCGTGGACGCATGCACCGAGTTGTTGATGGCAAACTCTACCATCGGCAAAAACTCACTCCAACTCTTAAAGGAGTGTACGTATCCTCGAAGTATCTCTTCAAGGACACGATTGGCACGTTCCGTCTGACCATCTGACTCTGGATGATCAGATGTTGACATCTTCAAGCGCGTTCCGAGTGATTTGAACACGGAACGCCAGAAATCAGCAGTGAATCGTGGATCTCTGTCTGATACGAGTTCACGGGGCAACCCATGAAGTCGGAAGATGGTGTCAATAAAGACACAAGCACAGCCACTTGCCGTGATTGTCTCTGGTACAGCCACAAGGTGTACCATTTTGCTGAATCTGTCAACAAATACGAGAATACCCGTATTCCCGCGTGCGTCTTTGGGTAACCCGAAGACGAAATCCATTGAGATGGATTCCCAGCACTCAGCCGGAACCGGTAGAGGCTGTAAAGGTGCACGCAGTGAAGGACTTGACTTCACTCGTTGACAGACTTCGCATGCGCGAACATACTTTCGCACAAACTGATACTGGCGGGGCCAGTAAAAGTCTCGACTTACCGTGAGATATGTTTTCTCTCGGCCACGATGTCCTCCTATAGGAGCATCGTGATACTCGAACATGATCCGCAAACGCAGATCAGTATCATCTGGAATGACAACACGTGGTGTGTCACCAGAAACGGCTGTATAGTACAGTAAACCGTTACGAGTAGTGTATCGATCTGATGCAGATCGATACGCAGACGACAATCGTTTCAACGATTCTCGAGATGGTTGGGAGAGATGTGACAACAACTTCACTATCTCACCATCTTGGGCGTATGCCCGCCTCACATCATCATACAACGTTGTAGATGGAACTGAGGACGTCATAACCGCAACAGTGACTGTCTCACTGTTGGGTTTCGCGACTGTTTCAAAGTCGGGACGACGTGAGAGTGCATCAGCGACGACATTAAGTCGTCCTGGTTTGTACTCGACCGTAAAGTTGTATTCTGCAAAGAATGACAACCACCGCGCCATTCGTTGTGAAAGGTGCGGGCTGTTCACTGCCGTGCGTAAGGACGCATGGTCAGTGTAAACAACGAAGGGTCTATCTCCTAATAGATAGACTCTGAACTTCGCGAGTGCATACTTCATGGCAAGGATTTCCTTGTCATGCACTGGATAGTTCCGCTCAGCTGGTTGCAGCTGACGCGACTGATAGCAGACGACGCGTTCAACGCCTTCAAGGTCGTACTGCATTAATGCACAGCCGATTGCGAAATCGCTGGCATCACAGACCACATGAAATGGCCTGTCCTGATCGGCTATTGCTAGGACTGGGGATTGTATCAAGCTCTGCTTGATACCCTCAAAGGAGCGTTGACATTCAGCGTTCCATAACCACCTCTCGTTCTTTTTCAACAAACGAGAGAGGTGTACAGTCATCTCGGCGTAATTGCGTGAATACTTATGCAAATACGCCGCTAGCCCAAGGAATTTTCGAAGACCTTTGACATCGACCGGCACGGGCCAGTCGGTGATCGCCTTGATCTTTTCGGGATCAGGACGTACACCGTTCTTACCAACGATGCACCCAAGAAGTGGTATTTCGCTTGCTGCAAATATACACTTCTTGAGGTTTGCATACAATTGATGCTTTCGCATGATTGTAAGAACTTGTCGGACGTGGTACCTGTGAACCTCAACGTCCGACTTTCCATCCATAGCTCGACTATGGATGAATACGTCATCGAAATAACTCGGCGCGAATTCTCGTACTGGCCTCAACAGATGTGATACACACCTGTTGAACGTGGCTGGGGCATTACTATGCCCTTGTGGCATTACTAGCCATTCCCAGAGCATGCCGCTAGGCGTGCTAACTGCGGTATAGGGTATATCCCGTTCCCGCATTAGGATTTGATAGAAGCCATCCATCAAATCCATGGACGAAAAGATGGTACTCTTTGACATACCATCAATGATTACGTCCTTCCTCGGTATCGGCGTCTGATCCGGTACCGTTGCAGCGTTCAATTTGTTAAACGCGTGCACTATCCGCCACCCTCCTGTTGCTTTTCGCACACAGAAGGTCGGAGAGCTATGTGGGGAAGTTGATTCCCTCA